TCAGGAATAGTATTTTTGCCTATATATCTTTAAAGCTTTAAAAAATTTTTTACAAAACTTTACTATTTTTAAATTATGTAGCATATATATTTATATATTAAAATTTTTAGAAACCTATTTTTGTATATTTACATCAAATTTTATTAGATTTTAATTTTCTATTTTCTAAGTTTAAATAAAAAAATATTATATACTAAACACCATGCAATTTTTATTTTGCAGGGACCTTAAAAATATTACCCCAAAAATCAATTATATTTTATTAATTTTATAATATTACTTTTGCAATAAAATTTAATATTAAAAAAATCCCTGCATGTAACAATTATAAAAATCCTTTAAGATTGTCATATACGGGTTTCCTCTATAATATAACATTCAAGTTAATCGAAGATTCTTTGCGACCAACTTTGTGTAAATAATTTTTGAAGCACGATTAAGGAGGTAGGGTGGCTCAAAGGTTTGGATTGTACAGCATATTTCACAGCGATCGTGTGAATTTGTCTTTTATTCAGATCGTATCGAGTATGCCACTCTTCAGCTGTGGAGTGTTCGAACCCTTGAAAGTCATCAAAGCCAATTAGAATAAAAATTTCTATAGAAAGTTTTTTTTTATAACTTTATTTTCTCTCAATTATTATTTTGGCGTACAAATACGTATGCTAAAATTACGGTGGGATAACCTATACCTTGACCTAATATTAGACCCTAATCCTAACCCTAATATTAATTAAAAATTCTTTTTATTCTTGACCAAAATTATTTTGATTTACGTTATAATTAGTTTTTTTCTTATTAAATTCAAATTCAAATTTTGATTCAAATCAAATTTGAATCAAGGTTGATTTGATTCTAGAATCACTTAGCTCCGGAATAATTAAATTTAAGAGCACTACAGAAGTATGCTGATCGTATTATTTTTAGAACGTGAGATATCCAAAATTTTAAAATAATTGCAATAATGTTTGTTTGAGATATTTTTCAATAATAAACACTACGTGTTCGATGAAATTCAACTTCCAATTCATTAATATGTTCCTTCGCAAAATCCCAAATAAAAAAATCTAAAATGATTGCATTCACTACCGGTATAAAATCTTGCCCATTTTCTTGCTCAGCCATCCGCATAATCTCTCTTTTCAAAAGTTCCACAGCCCAAATGCTGCACCCCCGAATCTCAATTTCTAATCTAGACCCATATTCTAACAACTCGCATCGCTCCAACGTCTTCATCAAATTATCGGAATATTTTATAGCTCCCAAATGGTGCAACGCTTGAGGAACTCTATAATCTGCAAACATCGTAATCTCAT